TTTGGCCACCTAATGAGAAGGAAGGACTCCCTGGAGAAGAGCCTAATGCTGGGAACAATAGATGGCAAAAGAAGAAGGGGACGGCAGAGAATGAGGTGGCTAGATGAAGTCACTGAAGCAGTTGGTGTGAGCTTAAGTGGACTCCGGGGGATGGTGGAGGACAGGAAGGCCTGGAGGAATGTTGTCCATGGTGTCACGATGGGTTGGACACGACTTCGCAACCAACAACAACATGCACAAAATGCTAGCCATTTACAGATGTAGATTTCAGGTGGATTTATAAGCTTTATCAATCATGTATTGTACCAATGCACAAAAAGGACTTGGTGCATCAATCCTCCAGATACTCATGCACAGCATCTGGAAGTCTGGGTCTTGAATCTTGCCCCAATATCAAGTAAGCAGGATTTGGATGAATGGGAGTTGAATTTCTTCTGAGAGCTAAAAGCTTTTGCCAGCATGGTGTTATTGGGATAAAGTCTGTGTCAATTATCCCTATCCTTACCAGAACCTTGCTGTCATAAAACAGAAAGAACAGATGGAACTATGTTCCTGTCCATATCCACTGGAAGATGAAAGCATCTCCCAGGTTCTGCAATATTAACCTTCACTATGCTGCAAAAGTTGGGACAAGTGATAATCTCCACTGAGGCAAACAAACCTACCACTGTGCTGCTCCATCAGAGCAGTATGTCTGTCAGTACTATCCTGTCCATTTCCCACTGATAACAAGCTAGGTAGGTACAACTCAGGCATTCAGCAGTAACAGTGATTGCCCACTTCAGCAATACACACTGTGACTTGTCTGATTTGATGGGGAACACACCAGTTGAAAATGAGTAGGGTGAGATCAACAAGTCGAAAGATCTCATTCCTCCCTGCCTGTTCAAGAAGTAAACAACAATAGCAATACCCAAAACTACACAAATGGGATAGCAACTGAAATAGGTACTGACTACCCACACAGCTTTCTTGATACTCAGACTCCAAAAAGGCAATGTTCCAGTGCTGCCTGTTTCCAGTCACAGCCCTAAGAACCACAATGTCCTGCACTGTAGACACTATCCCAAGAGGGATGCATCTATTATAAGGACTCTGAAGAACTAGGAGTTCCAACAAAAAGGCTATCTCCATTCACCATTCCAATGTGTCTGCCACATTCCTCGATATATGAAGCAAGGTGGAACACTGAGATTGACTGAAGGCATGGATGAACCAATTCTGAAGGGGCCTCATACAAAGATGCAGAAAAAAATCCAATTACTACACAAGTTACAGTAACAACCCAAGCGGTTTGAATATGCCACACTTTAGTAACTGTTTAGGTAGTAAGTCACCTAACAAGGCAACTCAGAACTGTCACACAGTCTCATAAAAGAAATACTCAGCTCATCACAGAATCCAGCACAAGCCCAAAGAATTAGTAGACACTGTGCACTAGGATGAAGTGTGATTGTTTTATTTTCCCACTGAGCTTAAGATCATGGAGGAGACAGAACACTAGAGAGAATGACTTTTAGATGTCCTGCCCTTGTAGAGGCAAACAGCAGCGAACTATTGCTAAATCCTGTGTCCTTTAGATGCAAAGATGGGCACTTACCAGTGCCATAAAATGGGTGAAAACCCACAATGCCACAGCACTGTTATAACATGACTGATACTCAAACCACTGCCAAAATGAATGGGACCAAAGCTGGAATAGAGAGATTGTATACAGATATAAGCATGTTCCACTATCACTCCCATTCCAACATAGGGTGACATAATCTTATCTGCAAAGTTCATAAAAGCTATAATCCTTCTGAATCAACAGTATCTGGAAAGCACTGAATCTGGAGATCCTCTAAGGGATGGCAATGGGCAGCCATACCAAGATGGAGATTCATTTCTACACTGCCTGAAACTCTTTCTTGGTTCTAGAGCACATGAAAATTTTCTAATACTGTATAACCTGCTGACATAGATGTACTTGCTAAGACGTCTTGCACTCCATTTGTTTTGCTGGACTGCACTGGTACCAGCAAATTTAGCATTGACAGTAAAGTTAGAGATACACTGGTGTCAACTCTGTCAAGTGTGGACATGAATCAGGAGCCAACTCTTTTGGCTCAGGTTTCAGTGCTTTGATTTCTTAGGACAACTTTACAGCTGCCATGTCAATGATCATCCAGTTATGCATGGGCAGTATGGGACCTGGTTAGAACTCAGGAATAAGAAGACCCCAACAAATCTACAGGTGACATGGATAAGAGAAAAACTTGGAAATTCTTCTAAGGTGGTTATTGAAAGCTGTATTGTATGAGTTGATAATAGATCCACTATGACAAGCAGCTTTTTCCAGAGGACAGCCATAGCCTGCCAGAGCAGCTTTGCCCAGCCTGCTTGGTAATCAGCACACGTTTCCACTTTATGATCTTCCTCAGGGAGTGCCTGTTTGTGGGGGGTTGTGTTATTACTGCAGTGGACACATTTACAAAAGAGCACTCTTACAGCCAATACCTTCAGACAAATGCAAAAACTGAGAATACAAAAAAAAAAAAAAAAAAAAGCCCCCCCCCCCCCGCCCCAGTACATAAGAGTGCAAAGGGAAAAACAGGTGAGGCAGAAGACTCAGGTAAGCTAGAATATAACTTCTGTAGTTTGTAGCAGCTTACTGAACGACAAAGAAGTTTGCAATGAGGCTATTGTGGAAATAAGCGAGGCACTGTTAGGGACATGTGCACCAGGAGAACTAGTACAAACGTTTCCTGAATAGGATTTCAAAGAGGCAGAGAGGCCTTGTTTGTGATGCAAAAAGACCAGAAGAAAAACCTATACCTCTAGAATCTAGATCAGGCTTCCTTAGTTTGCTGCCCTCCAGATGTTTTGGACTGCCAGCATTCTTGACCACTGTCAGTACTAGTTAGGGTCAATGAGAGTTGAGGTCCTAAACTTTGGAGGGCACCACATTGGGGAAGGGTGGTCTCAATTAATAATTAGTTTTGCAGGAAATGTTTGCAAAAATAAGTTCATAATGAAGAGACATAGTGATACATGTGCTCATACTGAAGAGGAAGTTCAGCAATGAGATACATCTAGCAACTGAGAAGTACCAATGCAATAGCCACTAGATAGAAACCAAGAAATCTGATGTAGGGCACCCTGCAGCTTTACTGGATCTTTATTGAGCTGGCTGCATTCTATTGCTTTTTTTTTTCCTCCTCCACCTGCCTTTTTTTTTTTTTTTTATTCTAGACTGCACAGAAATAGTTCCTGAAACATGGCTGTGGATAGCAGGTGCCACTGTAAGGCTTAAGAACTGCTGCCTGATTCCAACAATTAGATTAAATTTAACTAAATTATTTCTTGATTAAGCTTTCAAATCGTATGAATGACTGTGATGATAGGTTACTGTGGGGCTGGTTTATACTCTTGTATGACTTATGCAATGGTATACTGTGTAAGTTAACCAGTCTTAAAAATAAAGTCAGGCAATGTACCATTGATGATACTCTACAGTAATGAGTTTTATACAGTAAGGAGCTTCAAGCAATACAACTGGCATAAATAACAAATCCAGGTTTGAGTTATGTATATGGCTTCTTAATTGACAGTCATCAACATAGATAACAGAGTTATAGTTATCTAAAGTACTCACCTGAACTATAAACAGGAATTTGCCCTTTGGTAGATAAATCTGAGAGACCCACATTTAGACTACCAGATACTATACTGTCTAAATGTGGTTTAGGCCCAACTGGATGAGATGGAGAATGTTTCATACCAGGTTGCCTCTGTTGTTGCTGAAGGGCACTCACCATACGAGCAAGCTGCAGCCAATGAAACAAGAATGAATGGTTAACCTTATTACAAGCATTTACACTTGCAGGAGCATGTTTGTTTACAGGAAGCAATCAAGTAACTAATTCATTTAAAAGTTATGCCTAACATGGAGTTTGCCTTTTTCATGGCAGCTGCACACTGGGGTTGACATTTTCACTGAGCTGTTCACCATGGTCCCAAGACCCCTTTCTTGATCAGTCACTGCTGGCTCAGATCCCATCAGCCTATACTTGAAGTTGGAAGTTTTTGCCCCAATATGCATTACTTTATGCATGCTTGTTTTGAATTACATTTGCCACTCGATGCCTATGCTCCCAACATTAAGAGATCCCTTCTGAGCTCCTCACACTCCTATTTAGTTTTATGCACTCTAAATAGTTTGGTATCAGCAGCAAATGTGACCACTTCACTGCTTACTCCTAGTTCAAAGCATTTACGAATTGGTTGAAAAGTACCGGTCTTAATGCAGAACCCTATGGGAACCACTGATTACATTCCTCTACTGGTAGAAATTACAGTTTACTCTTATGCCCTACTTCCTGATCTACCACAAGGCTTCACTGTATGTGATGCACACATCTTACTGATCATATATTCTACCTGCTGCTCTTGCTGCTGTCGTACAGCTTGAGAAATCTTTCTCTGATTCTGTAATAGCTGTTGCTGCTGTTGCTGCTGCTGCAGAAGAAGTTGGCAAGCCTGCAAAGCAAATGAAGGAGGGAAAAAACTAGTTTACTTGCGCAACAGCTCTTACTGGAATTAACTGCTAACAAATAAGCATCATTCATTGATGTGAGTAGCATATGATCTGTATAACAAAAAGGGTTTCTGTGAAAGGTTTAGACTCTGGAATATCACAGTGCATTCCCTTTTAAACCTAATAAATGGGAAATTACTTCTTAGTAAGTTAAAACAAGTCATTAAAAATATCAGGCCTCAGCTATTTTTTCAGGCAAAGATTTTATTCACAGAGTAACTAAGTGACTAGAAAGGGCTTTCCCAAAACAAAATGGCCTGATTTGCATGTAACAACAACCCCCTGGATTTAAAACTTTTGCTTTCACATAGCAACTCATGATTTACTCCTGCTGAACGTGATTTCATGCCAGACATACAGGCTCTTTAGAGTCTAAGGTTTGGACATCAGGTTCAGCAGAAGCTAATCATGGGTTGCTGATTAGTTTATGGAATAAAGTGGAGGAGCTGAGCATGCTGTAAGTAGCATCTCTAGATGGCTCAAAAAGCTCACTGAGTTGTAAACTGAAGAGTCATGAGCAAACAGCCTCATTGCCTTATGTATGCTTTTTCCAGTGCACAGTGTATCAGTGTACTACAGATCAGAGGCATGAAAATAGACCTAAAAAACTCAGACTGACTACTTACAAGCTGAAACTGGGGAATCTGTGGAAGTTGGCTCAACACAGCAATCTGTTGAGGAGAAAGCTGGGGCCCCATATTGAAAAGACCTGGGCTCAGACCACTGTTAGGAAATTGCTTAAGCATAGAGGCAGACACCTGCAAGGAAACAATACATACTTTAGAGAAGTAATTGTCATAACCTCAAAGACATTTTTATATAGAAACCTCTACTAAAACTCCATCTTTTTTAAGTTACACCAGATCTTGATAATGATGTGGTATGATATGCTGGGGGATGAATGTCATTGGTGGGCAGACCAAAGTTGGCACCACATATAGCCGGAATCCCACTCACTTTTCCACTGAAACTGATTGTCTTAAGTCACTAGGGAAAAACCCCCCCAATACCAAAGCAGGCTCCCTCTTCCACAGAGAACCATGAATGAGGGCACTGCACCTGTCTCTTACTTCCTAAGGAAGATTTACAAGATATGTAACTGTGAGAAAGGGGAAGGTTCAGAATCTGCTCTGGTTAGATAGATAGATAGATAGATAGATAGATAGATAGATAGATAAGATAGATAAAACCTCATATATGGAACTACAAAGAGACTACAGCAAACTGGTTACATCAAAGCTTTCAGAATTGCTTACCTGGGGAGAAAGAAACTGGGGAGGCACTTGTGCCCGGATATTGGGGGAAGGATTTAGTGGTTGCACTGGTGGGTGCATTCCTCTCGATTGTGCTGTACTGTTTCCAAACAGACCTTGATTGCCACCCTTAAAAATGATAATAAATTTGTGAGTATGATTGTTTAAATACTTCTGGTAGAGCTTGAAGTTCATACTTCTGTAGTCCTCAAAGAACACCAATTCTGAGGTTCATTACTCAGAAGATGTCAATGCTAGTCATCATTATTTCACATTAACTCCATTGCTGTTATTTTTTGAACGCTAGTTGTGAAAAGATTGATTTCATATTGTATGAACAATAAACCTAAGAACACAACAGTCTTCTCCATTACCTAAAATCTAGATAAAAAAAATCTGCACAAGAACAAAGCAGCAAATGGTCATTCTTGCATTTTATACCAATGTTTATATACTGAATTTTAATGAACTTTCTTGAAAATAAAGAGGTCAAAATAGCAGACACAAGTAATACACTGAATGACCCAGAAAGAAGTGAGAGGCAGATGGGCTCCTGAATTTGAGATTTGTTTTAGTTATTTTATTTCTATGATAAAACATATTTTGATTAGAATGGATGGGAAAAAGTACAGCTGACCAAGAATAAGTATGATGTGCAGCCAAGCAGTAATATAATGAAGAATGCGATCTCCTTACTTGTCTAGCAGCGAAGTTTTGGGGGTTGAGCCCTGAGCCGATTGCCCCAAGGCAGACGTTGGGTAGTGTGGAACCAGAGGGAGATAGCTTGTAGTTGGGAGAAGGGGAGAAGGGAGAGCAGGGAGCCTCATCCCCAAGGCACCCATCTTGATTGGAGAAAGGCAAAGTCAGCTGAAGCAGTAGTTGGTTAGTGAAGCAATAGAATGCAAGAAGAGAAAGAGTGACTGTAAGTGACCAAGAATATGTAAAATTGGTATGATTTTAATTACAAACTACACTACTTACATAGGAATGTGGCCTAAAAGGACAGTCAAAACATACCTTTCAAATAATTTAATCCCCTTACCCATAACTAAAGGTATTCTGCTTAATGAAGCAATCTTTTTAACTGAAAATTATGCAAAAGTATTCATCCCAGCAAGTCCTGTTTCTCTTTAGAATACTTATAACTGAACAATATTTATACTATTGGATGCAAGTAAGTCAGCAAAGTAGGAAAAGAAATACATTTTCTTTTCAGAATGCTAATATCTGCTTCCTGACACTTTAAAGGGTTTGGGTTTTGGCCTTCTACCCAGTAGAATAGGCAAGCAGTACTTGATGACATGAGAATTGTTATTTTTACATGGGGTTAATGTTCTGTCACTTAAATGCCTTCTAGAAGCAAAAACAAAATACAAGCAATTCCTCTTCTTATGATTCCATTGTTCTAGTCCACATCCATACTGTGCAGTGTTAGCCTGTGAGGTCAACATGAAAAGTTAAAAACCTCTGGTCTCTGATCAGGGAAGAGATGAGGGAGTGGAAGAAAGACAGTGAAAAAGAAAGGAAAAAGGAAAAGCAGGTCAAGGAGGCAATTTTGATGAAGATTTGTTTGTAACTTTCACTTTAGGATTGACACTGGCTGCTTTGAACAATACAATTCTCTACTGCTTACATGAGAATCAATCCAAATTCAGCATAGCTTATGGCTGCTTTAAACTTAACTTTTTTCAGGAAAGTGAAAAGTGCATAAATATGAAATAATCCTTACTCTCTCATCTGAGACAACCAAGTTCTTGAATTTGACTCTGTTCTTTAAGTATGGTAGCAGACATAGGCGGTAGACACAGCTTACTTTTTGTATTTTATACATGTTTGACAGTTAACAATGTACAACAAGTGGAAAGTGAATTATTTCAAGAAATCCCTGATAATTTGAGAGCACAGAAAGGGGAAATGAAACCACTAAATTAGAACACTAATAGCAGCAGTGTTTGTTGGACCTTGAGAATGAATGATTGTGTCATGAGCACTATTTGTCTAGAATAAAGTCAAAGGTCTGTTGGATATCCATTTGCAAATCAATGGCAACATGTCCTGATCTGATAAATGATTTGCATCATCAGAAGATCCAGACTTGTCTTCAGAAACTGAAGCTAAATGTTCCTTATCGTGAATTCACTGATGTACCTTTGAACATACTAACATAATCTGAATCAATGGCAGTAACTGAAGTGATGTATGCCTGGGGCCGGGTCAACACAGGACAACTAGATAGCAAGAATGAAGGCAAAACCTATTCAGCAATATATTTCACATCTGAGGGAGCAGTTGTTGGTGAGTCAAGGGCTGGGTTGAAGTAAGAGATATCAAAGCAATGACTGTTTTACAAGATTGTAAAGAGCACTTCAAGAGAAGTTTCTATGGTCACATAAAAGATGCAAGTAAGCAACAAAACTGATGGGCCTGGAATGGGGGAGGACATTAAGTGAAACAATGCTTTCCTTAATGAAACCTGAGTTCATACTTTCTGCTGTTTGGTTTCTAGGAAATCAAAATATTAAGCTCACTCAGGAATAAGCAACCTAGTATTTCTCAGAGTAATCACTGCTATCCCAAAAAATACAAAAGAAGCCTTAGAGTTGGTAACTCAATTCTAATACCAAAAGAAAATGTCCTTTTGGAATTAAGTGATGCCTGCTGCCTGTGACATAATTCACAAGGGATCAAATCAGTGGAAGGGATAAGGTTGGCAGAGAAAGTGGATTTATACAAGGAAACCCACTCAAGATGAGGAAATACAACACTGCCCTAATGTTCAGTGAAAACTGCAATCCAGCTAATTAGTGTCATCTACCTCTTTTTCATCATGGAATTTGAACATCCAAGTTCATGCTAAATACGGTGGGCAGAGTATGAATCAAGAAGAGGAAAGATTCTCTATGTTCTAAACAGATTCAGACTGAGCAAGGGTCTCTGTAGTATTACACTTAAGATTAGAAGAATAAAAGTTGCACGCATATGAAAGTTTCTCAGATGACAATGTGGAAGTAAAGGCTGAGATGGTTGCCCCTTAACTACCAGGCTGCTTTTTTGCCTTTTTCTTTCTCTCATGAGAAGTACAAGGATTTGATAGGCTTGACAAGTTATGTGTTTCTTTTAAGCCAAATGCTTAACAGTAAGGACAGCACATGTTTGGCCTTGTGAGACAGAAAAAACAGTGACTAGTCTCAGAAATAACTATAGTCAGCAGAAATGGCAGAAAGGCCAGTCTGGTAGCTTCCAAGTCAGGCATTGGCTGCATTCACATGGAATAATTCTGGAGTTTCACAGAATTCATAAGCTATGTGTTAGTACATGCAGCACTTTTATTTCCACTTGGCTCCACCTACCTGAAGAAGTGGCTAAACTACCCAAAGTGTATGAACCCACATTCAGCCCAACAATTTAAGTCAGGACTCTGCAAAATTCTAGCTTATGGAAGCATGTGAAAGAAGCGTCAGAATGCTAAACAGTTGAAGCCATGTCCTGAAAGATGGTAACTACATTCTATTATGACATGAGGCACAGAGCCCCTAGACCAGCTTTCTACAACCTGGTAACCACTCAGGTTTGAAACTTTCAACATCCATCAGTCCGGATCACAAACTACTGGGACTTCTAATCCAAACCTCTGGTGGGCACCAGGTTGGGGAAGCCTAGGAAAGATGAATGAAAGAAGAAAGTGGAAAATCCCAGAAATCCCCAACCAACACTGTGCTCCTCCCATATAAACCAAGCTTCCCCCCACCAGGTGCCCTCCACATGTGTTAGCCTACAACTCCAGCACCATCCTGGAAAGCATCATGTTGGGAAAGGCTGACCTAAAAAAGACTGAATCATGGATATGCATGCCTGAAGTGGGACATTTTACACTCATAACCATAGCACATTAACACATGACCCACTGCTCCACAGACAAATGGTCTTGAAAAGAAAATGCTTCCGGCAAAATTTTTTAAAAAAATGTAGCCACACTAAAACACCTTATAAATAAAAAAGGGAAATGAAAAACCAATCTTGAGATGGAAGACAACAGAACAAAAGGCTTGAATATTTCACAGAATATTCTCAACTATAGCTGCCAACAGTTCGAAGAACTACATTTTGAAACTGGAGGAAGGACACCCCAAAATTTAAACAAGGAATACTCTTAGTAAAGTTCTATCAATTTATACTAACCTCTCACCTTTCTTAGATATGCTAAATACACATAATTCAGCACATAAAATGGAGCAGTGTAGTATGCACGTGTAAACATTTTCACTTAACTAAAACAATAATTATAAATATTTTCTGTATTAAGAAGTAGAGGTACACCCTAAATTACCTGAGGATATCTTATTTTTTTCTAGTTGAGAAAATAAAAGCCATAGAAAAAAGGAAAAAGTTTTATCATCTGAACTTCGAAAGAGTACTTAGACCTCAGTATTATCATTCGGAAAGAGAAAAGTAATTCTTTAGAGGAAAAAACACAGAAAACATAGTAATAATGTGAAATTAATGCTAATACAGTCATATTATTTCCTCATCATACATGTGTCATACTAACTGTACACAGATAAATGATGCATTTAGTGGAATTGTGTTTTGTTCTATTTCAGAAAATAATATACTCTTAAACATAATACTATGCCTCATTTATTTTTTCTAATTTATGTCAGAATTTAAGACATCCACATTTTCTTGTTCTAATCTTTCCACTGCTTGAGTTTGCATGACAAAACAACCCACTGTGGGTTGCATCCTGATAATGCTCAAGATTATGCACTTTTTATTGCTCTAGGTGCTTGAGAAAGCACAAAAGTGCATCTCACCTTTTATCTTGAGAAAAGAGTCCCTTTAACAGGGTGGTTTTTTGTGGGGGGGAGATCAGACAATTATAATCCCTGAATGGAACATAAGTCTGTATATAGTCCATGGGTCCTCAAACTATGGCCTGCAGGCCGAATATGGCCCGTCATGGGCATTTACCTGGCCCTCCTCAGCGCTTTCGGACTCGCTCAGAGAAAACAATCTCCGAGTGAGTCCGAAAGCTCTGAGCTGGCGCAGGCATTCTCTGAACCTGAGCAGAGAGCCGGCGCAGGTGCCAAAGTGTAACAGCTCCCTTCAACTGCACGTGCACTGGCTCTTCCCCACATTGCACGCATAAACAGAGCAGGAATATAGAGCAGGAAACAGAAGAGAGTAGGGCAGGAGAGAGAGAGAGAGAGAGAGAGAGAGAGAGAGAGAGAGAGAGAG